TTCTTAAGTACAAGTACATCAACACTTCAGTACTGCTGCATACAAACAGAGTTTGAACAAACTAGGCTAAATTCTATCGGGAGCAAACTTCCAGCACTAGTCTTACTCAACTCCAGCCATGGGCAAACAATTGTTTTTTCAAACCAACCTGGACCTGAGTAAGACACCTCTTTTTACCTCTATCTCATTCAAATGCACTTATGCTATCAAAGTTGCAACAAACTTAAGCAGCTCTACCTAAAGAGCACAGTCTTCAGTACCGATCTTACTTAGCTCCAGGTGGGGGCAAACAATTATTTTTCAGAACCAACCTGGACCTAAGTAAGACCCTCTTCTTTCATTACAAAACCAAGCACAGTCGAACAACATATTCGTTAACCAGACTGAGCATCTATTTGGCCCTGAGGTCCCAACAGTGCTCGGCCGGGGGCAAACAGTACAGAAAACATTCAGACGTAAAAGCAAGAAAGCATCAGATTGCAAAATCAAAAGGAAAATTCCATCATCCAACAAAGACACAGTTGGCCTCACAAACAGCTTGTCTTACCAAACATAAGGGGGCAACTCATCAGGAAGACCGAGCTCCAGTACAGCAGAAAGCAAAAAGAAGAAAAAACAAAATGTGACAAACTTCAAATCGTTTCAATGGTCACTTCAACTTTCATCAGCAGTAGGAATTTCATGAGTAGCATCTACAATCTTATTTGGGCCACCTTGGGGAGGAAAAGTAGAGGCAGCTCCAACTTCCTGGAAAGCAGGAGCCTCCTTAACCACATCTCCTACAGCTTCAGTTTCCAAGGTTCTACCCCTTTCAACATTCACCATTTTATTGGCAGTATTTCTCTCCAAAGTCTTGAATGTCGAATCAGTCCCTGGGAAAATCTTAGCTGGAGGAATAGCAGGGGTATCAGCAACCTTCAGACCCAAGGATTTTGAGGGAACAGGAATATCTTGAAACAGAGGAGACCCTTCAGGAATTTGAGCAATAGTTAGGGCACTTGTCCAGCCTTTGAGAAAAAACTAAGGGAAAGACATAGAAATAGCACTAGTCACCAAAATAGTGGCACAAGGGCCAACAATGGCGATAGAGATAGAAAAGCAAGAGGAAAGAAGGGTTTCAGATGAACTTACAGTGATTTGATGAGAGGACAAAGAACGAAGGTCTTGAAGACTGGAATCAAAAGATAATAGCAGCATTTGGAACCCGGTGGCAAGCGTCTGGATAGAGCACTGTCGGAACAAAGATGAGAGAATAAAAGGGTTTTGGGATTTCAAAACTTTGAAACAAGCAAGGAGGATGAAGAGACAGCACTAGGGTATTTATGACCCTTGACTAGCGTGATGGTACAAATCACGTCCCTCTATACAGAATTGGTGTCTTTTCTTTGCACACCAGTACCACGCTACCACGTGTCACCATGGAAGGACACATGCAGCGCGTGTGTTAGGATTGAACCGCCACTAAGGCCGAACTAGAGCAGACCCGAAACGATGCGACGATTGGGGTATTGAAAAGTAGCTCCCCCCAAGGGAAACCTTAGCGCGAGCTAGGGGGAAAATGAAGGGGTTGAATACGAAACGGGTCGGATCCAAGCCTTGGGCCAGCCCAATCCACTAAAGTCCAAATCCAAGTGGGTTAGATGATTATATGGGCAAGCCAATTAAGCCCAACTCCATGATCAATAGTCTACCCAAGTCCTCAAGCACTTGGGCCCAACTCGCTGAGGAAAGGCTAGTCCAGCCGCGATGTTGGGCTGGGCCGAGCTGAGCTGCAAGACTTAATCTATGGGCCGAGTTGATAGGCCGAACCCATCGTCAGAACTAAAGTGGGCCGAGCCCATACAAAGATATCCGAATGGACGAGCCCATTTCTATAAACAATCTTGTGAAAGGCCGAGCTGAGGCACAACGGTACCGAGCTGAGGAAACCTCTTAGAGAAACGTGGAAGCTATGAATACATGCACATGGAGGATGCCACCTTGGCTGGTCACCTCTCCCTAGAATCACGGAATTGGTTGATCAAGGGAATGTGGTTTGTTATCAGCGTGACTACAACAAGTATATGCATCCATTATCAACAACTTGATGGTCCCCTACCTTGAGCAATGTTAAAGTAAGCCTAGAAGCACCAAAGCTTCATGAAACCATCTTGGGCAACAAGAAAAGTTTTCTATATAAGCCTCACTCTCTTCACATTGAAGGTATCTGATCTAATCTGATCTTAACTTGAGCACAACTGAATTTACTCTTTCATTCTCTCTCTCTACACCTAGAGAGAGTCCTTCATCTTCTCCGATCACTCATTCCCACGCTGAAGGGGTTTTCTGGCCAATCCCGACTGGGCAGCCTTAACGATGTTCTGTGTTGCAAGTCCTCGGTTCCTGGACAATCCATCCAGTTGCTGAGCTCCGATCCACAATCATCTAGTGCGGTATTCGGTACGCACAGGGGCTATAGATCAGTTAGGCACGGTTGCCCATGCAGCTTGATCCATATCGCCATGGCATAATATTTTGCTCTAACCATTTTTGTTCATCACCTAGGGAACGTGATGACATGCATGTTCTCCTATGGCCTATAGTTTAATGCGAGGCTTGAGCCTTTATCATCTATTATCGGCCCTCGGCCAATATTCCCAGCTTGACCCTCTCTAAAGGTAGTTTTGGGCTTCGATATTCCGCCCTGATAGGCTTAGCTCATTCTAACGAACAAGGTGGGTTCGACCAACATCGGTAGCCTGAATGTCCTTGGATTAGTCAGGTGTTAGGCCTCAAATTGATGTGACTAAACAGGTTTTTCCCGTATCAATATCCGAAGCTGGTTCGGCCTTCATTGTTACCCTAAGTGGAATCGGCCCACATTGGCACTGACAGTGTATTTGACTCATTTCATTTGACTAGATAGATTCGGCCCATTCTAGGGGCCCACATCAATAGGGCTTGCTTGATGGGATTGGCCCACGTCAATATCGTTAGTGAGTTCGTTCCATGCAAGTGGGCTTGAATTGGTTTGGTCCTGTAAAGGTAGCTCGACTCGATTCTGGTCTTGCTTTGGTCATATTGACCTCCTCGGTTAAGAAAATAATGCAAGGAGATTTAGGGCTCAAATTATATATTGAACTTTGCACTACATCAATGGACCTTCACTATTATATTTTCTTTCTAAAAAAAGTTAGGTACTATTTACTCTGTTTGGTTTCAGTTTTCAAAATTTAGTTTTTAAAAAATTTTACTTCTTTATTTTTCATATTTTTTTTTGTTTTCACTGAATTTTTTTAACATTTTTTTTAAGACACACCAAACATAAATACGCTTAAAAAGTATAATATTTGTGAAAAAAAATCTTTAAAAAATTCACTAAATACCAAAAATATAAAAAAAATATACGAAAATTCAATACATTTTTTGTATTTTTGTGTATTTATTAATTTTTTAAAATATTTTACTATTTAGATACATCTAAGTAAGGTACATCTAACAAAGTAAAAAAATTGTTTGAAATTTTAAAAATATTCACTAAAAACAAAAAATAAAATAAAAACTAAAAAATAAAAAATTTAATTTTCAAAAAATTAAATTTTAAAAATTGAAACGTAACACACTGATTGTTCTTCTAACACATGCTTTTTTAAGCAAAAATTCAAAATGTCCATATTGATTTTTTTAAGCCATTTTATTACGACATGGTGATGTAATCTTGTTGTACCACTTTGCCATCCACGAGCATTAGAATTCGAATCATATAGAAAATGAAATAATGAAAAGTTAAAGGACAATTTAGTTATTTCACAATTAAAAGCTAGAAACCTAAAACTATTACCAAAAAAAGTAGGCTAAAAAGTATTGATAATTAATAGCTTGACTAGCTGCAATTGCATAAACTTGCAGTATAGAGGGGATAAAGTAGTCATATGCAAAGCTCAAAATGGAGATATACACGACCCACTATGGAAATCCTAATAGGGATCAGTAAGCCGAGATACATAAAATGGGCAAGAGACCGAATAAGAACATCATTCACTAGAAGGAAAGGGGCTGAGGAAAGACCATTCACACATGACTAAGGGGTGGTTTGGTATTTGAGTTGGGCAAAAAAATCACAAAAAGGACAAAGAAATAAGTCAAAAAATCACAAAAAGGACAAAAATCACAAAAAAACAAAAAATTGTCATTCCAAAATCAAAAAATCAAAGAAGAATACCAAACGATCAAAAAAGTCCTAAGTCAAAAAAAATTAAAAAAGTCAAAAAATTAATTAAAAAAATCATTACCAAACGTGTACTAAATTAGGATATATCAACATTTAAGGCAAAATCACCAGACGTGCTTTAATTTCGTGTATAGTATAGAGGAGGGTCATATCATAGACAAGTAAGAATATATTATTTGAAATTTGCCTATTGCGAAGAAAAGAGCTCTGAAAGGGAGAGATAATATTTTGTAGGACAGAAGATTGCATGTGCCTAATCATAATGCCTGAAATTGTTTTATAAATTACATTACTGAGGCTAATAGGCTTGAAATGGGCAGGCCGAGAAGCATTTTCTATGTTTCAACTTCTTTGTTTTCATGTATTGAGGGTGTAGGAGTACTGAGACATAAATAAAAACTTGTAAACACGGTTAAAAAGAGAGATAATGATCATCATAAATATAAATGTGATGAAGAGAGAAAAAGCCTAAACTAACATGAAATGCGATAGAAAAGCAAGACGTAAATTTTTTTATTTAACTAGTAACATATAGTAATTGACAGAGTAAAATGACGAAAAGATTCACATAACTGTTTCTATTTGAATGGAACCTATGTTTGATCTAGTTGAAGTGCAGAATGTACTTGTGGTTGAATTAATATATTCCTTACACCATTATCTTGTTTTAAAAAATAAAATAATGTGCTAGGCCATAGGATTTTGGTTTCCTGTTCTTCAAGATCATCAAATGGTCCAGAAATAGGGAGGAAGATATAACCACGCAATCCACTTTTGGACTCCGCACATGTTTTTTTGACAATTACTATCAAATTATCAGAACGCAGTATTGATATACATTGCCACTGAAACGTAATCTTGAGAGCGACTCTCTCTACTCATGCTTAGGAGGCGGTTATAATTAAATCTGCTATGGAAAACTGAATTAAACCTAAATCACTTGACAAGACTCAGATACAAGCAACCAACAGATCAATATAACTAAATTGTTCACAAATAGCCAAAGCTTTCAATACAATTCAGCTAATACTCTCTCGCACTTCAACTCGCATGCCTCTTTCTCCCTTCAGAGCCTGATCATCCCCTCCCATGATGAGATCAAGTGCTCCGGATGCTGGATTTCCATTTTCTATGTAATTTACTAATCTTTCACAAACCTCTGATGGTACAACATCCTTTTCCCTTAATAATTCTATCAACTCCTCTGCTACTTCTATGCTTCCCTTTCCCTTCAAATATTCCACACATGCTGCCAGAGTAGGAAGGTTTGGCTTCCACCTGGAATGACTCGCCGCGAGTGCTTTCTTCATCATCCCCACTGCCTTTTCCATTTGATCATCATCATGATATCCGGTTGCCAAGCACTGCCATATTCTTGCGTGGGGCTCGATACCACTCTCTATCAGCCTATTTACAATTGATTCAGCATTTCCTAAAAGGCCTTTCTTGCAATAAGCATTGATGAGAAAGTTCGGAATTCGATAATCAAAAGATGTTTTCTTGTTCCACTCCTCCCATATCTTTTCCACACCATCAAGGTCATCTAACTTCACTAGTGAGCTTATCATACTAAGGTAGCCCATATTGTATATTTTTCCAATTTTCTTGTACAAATTCCATATACGATACACTTCATCCTTGTTCCCCATACTAGCATACAGAGTGAGTAGAACCTCATAAGCAAATCTTCTCATCTTACCCCTAACAAGTCGCTCTGATTTCTTTACCATTGGTAAAGCCTTTTCTACCATACCAGCTCTCAAGTAACAATTTGCCGCCACGACATATGCATTCCAGTCCACAGTGACATCAGCTTCCATCTTCATCAGAAGCTTCTCCATTCCTTCAATATCAGAAGCAATTGCATACGCATCTAAGCGGGTATTGAATGTGAAATTGTTACCTGTAATGACTTCCTCTTCCATCTCTTGCATGAGGGAATCTAGTTTTTCATGCTTTCCCATGTCAGCATAGAGCTTAAGCATCACATTGTACGGCAGTGATGTTCTATTGAATCCCAGGTCTGTCATCTTCTGCATGATTGCCTCTGCCTTCTCCAAAGATTTTTCTTGGGCATAACAGTTTAAGAGAGCACCATAGACCTGCAAGCCTCTCAAAGTAATAGGAATGTTACTGAAATACTTCTCTGCTTGTTCTAGGCCATGAACCTTTGATATCAAATCCAACCGAATCGCAACATCTCCAGGTAACAAGTCAAGATATCTTTTATTGCTCATCCATTCAGATACCTAACAATGAGAATAAGAAGCATGAACTAATGGGGAAATTTTCAAAATTGAAGTAGCTAAGAAGAAAATTAAAATTATAATCAACATCAGAGGGTACAATACTATCTATTCTGGAGTATTTCTAGAAAGGAGAATGAAAGGGAGTCTTGTGCCAGTCTTATGAATACACGTACGGCTTCTCATATGGACTGCATTATGGTTTAGACAACATAATAGTCAATACAAGCATAACTTCTCATTTATAAACCTTAAACAATTGTTAAAATTTTGGTGGTCTAGAATTGATACTTCAACAACTAGGCAGTGCACTCTCTGAGATCATCAGTCGTTGCCTAAGAAGCATGAACATGGACACATGACCTGACATGGACACTGACACAGTAAATTTAAAAATTTAAAAATATATATATATATATATCTGGAGACAAGATGTGAGAGACACAAAATAAATAGTTTACACATTTATTATATGTCATGTCATATATATGAATACTTCCTTCAAAGATAATATAAAAAATAAAAATAAGAAACAGCATAACACCAATTTCTAAAGCTTAAAGGAAGTGTTAATAGGTATAAATTTACATTTTTTTTTACTCATTAGATCCTAAGTTATTTTTGTTCAAACTAGTAACATGTTATGGACATGTGTTTCCCAAGGGTTTGAACTGTGTATGAGTCATGTTTTGTTTTAAAATAATAGTACAAGTTTGGACATGTGCCCAATGTGTCAGGAAATGCCCGATAAAGGCACAACGGTTTCTAGAAAGTGTCTGCACTTCTTAGATTGTTGTTGTTACAAACATTCCAACAAAGTAAACCACTGGTACCAAAGATTGTTAATACAGCTAGACACATTATTCTGATATTTTATGATCAGCTCCATTTAATTTTCCATTAATTAAATATACTACAGTTACAGATGTATCTTTCTTTGTAAACATAACACTGTCAATTCACAAAATGGTTTGTTCTTCATATGATCTACGAACCATTCTCCTATCCTGTGATTCCAAATTTACATTAGATTTTTCGATTCATTATGGTTTATCCACTTCCTCTAGAACTGCAAACTATCCAGCAAGATTAAAGCACCATACTATTTTTAATTGTTTGTTCCAAAAAAAAAAAAATAATACTATTTTTAATTGTAGGGACAGTCTGCTCAGAATATGCATTTTCCATCAAGAGGGAGGGAAATTTGCTACCCTCCAAATTTTATCTCCTATGGTGAACACCATATTGTATCCAGTGGCCAGAGATAGGCACCCTAATCAAACACTAAACACATTTTCAAAAGCATATAAGGAGGTCTCCTTCAGTCCACAACTTCTGCATTGAATTAATTATTTTCTTTTTAATGGCAGCATTTTATCATTTAACTAATAGAGTTGGTGATAGAGCTGAGCTTTGCACGTTCCATTTCTTGCTATAGTTTTCCTTTTCTCCCTTAAAGATACCATATCCATTAATATCAGAGTAATTTATGCCATATTTCATTCATGGATTTGTTGACAGATATGAAAAAGAAATCACTATTCCTTGTTTGGTTATCATGGAAAACAATGTGAAGAAAAAAGAAAAGAAAAAAAAGAGCAAATATGATGAATGTACATGGGAAAGTTTTTATTTCAAGACATCATTTCTCCTCTTTTTAATGATTTCATTTCATGAAAATATTAAAACCTAAAGTTTTCTAAATAGGACAGGATGCACAAAGGAAATGGTTTTCCTACTCATTTTTCTTTCCCTCAACAATTCCAAGTTCCATACAAAGCCTTAGAGCATCTCCAATGGTATTAGGCATTTTACCTATCTAAACATTACTATAAAGTATACATTTTACGTTGCCTATCAACTGTTTCATGTTTCTACTCCACCCATGCTCTGTATTTTAGCTATTTATCCAAATACTATTAACTTTATAGAATGAAACATCAGCAACAAAGATGGAGGGAAATAATCTTAATGATTAAATACATTTTGCCTAACCTTGAAGGCTAGCTACATGTAACTAGTGAATATGAGTTGAGCTAAAATGCCTAATCATATGCCTAGTGTCTTGGAGTTGAAAAAAGTGAATCATGCTAGACATACACACTCTAAAGTAGTGTTTGGTTCACTAGAATCAAGGTGGAATGAAATAACTATTCTATCTTAATTCCATTCTCATGTTTTAGGTCACTAAATAAATGATTGAAAATGCACTGCAAATGGAATAGAAGCATCTCCAACCCTTCACCAAAATTTTCATCCAATTTGATTCCCAATTTGAGTAAAAGTTTGATTTGATATGAACATTTGATGAAAAGATTGGAGACGATTTTTAAGCACTTTTTCATCAAATTTAAAGTTTGATGATAAAAAAAAAGGTGAAGGATTGGAGATAAGAACCAAATTTTAACTTTCATTGCAACTATTATCACATTGCTTTCAAACTAAACTAAATAAATCAGATATTATGCTTTTCAAATGCTATTAAGTTAGACAAGCACAAAACAAAAGCACAAAGTTACAATTAAAAATCATAAGTGCACAACTAACAATTTCAGCAATCCACAGACTTACATGAGAGAGAGAGAGAGATTACCTCGAGAGCGTGATTGAAACGTTTGGATTTTCTGAGCCGCCTGATGAGAACCTCAAGGTATGATTGCTTGGCAGGTCTTCCTTCACCGACCCATTGGTCGAGTACTGGTACAATTGAAACCCTAGGGTTTTCGAATTGTAAAAGCCTACCATACAGAGTGTCCTTTGAAGACGATGAGGAAGTCACAGTCTCGGTCTCGGTCTCAGTCTGAGTGGAGTAGAACAAAACCTTGAAAACCCTAGAAATGCTACATTGATTACCCAGTGAATTCCATGTACACAGGTTGAGACGCTTCATCGCCATGAGAGAGAGGGACACAGATTCTCTAATCCGAATGTTGTAGACCGTAAGGCTGTGTTTGGTTGGAAGATTTGGGGAGGGATTTGGAAAGGGAAAGGGAAAAGGTGTGTAAAATTGGGTAAAATATATGTATATTTTATTCACATTTCACCTACCATTTTCATTTCTCTTTTCAAATCACTCCTCAAATCCCCTAACCAAACACACCCTAAGTCTTCTTTATTTCTCACTCAGGTTTATGCTGGTTTGGGGGACACAAACGACCGTCGATAAATCTGTGTGGTTTGCTTTTTAAAAAGGTTCGACTTATCTCGTATTCGGGATTCAATTGGACAGAATATTTAAATGGGTAAATTACACACTATTTTTTTTTTTTTTTAAATTAATTACAATTGCAGGGACTTTCTTTCTTATTTTAATAATAATAAAAAATTTTCTTACCTGTGAACTACTATTAAGATTCTCTCATCGCTAATCTTTTATTAGTTTATTTAACAAAATATATTAATATCATACTAATATCATTTACTATGAATAAAAAAATTCAAGATTGTTTTCATATATTCAAATAGTAAATTTCCATTTACCTCCCGTCAAGTTTTATAAAAAAATTAATAAAGACTCACACATTATTTTAATAATGTTGAATAAAATTATTAATTACTTAAATATAAAGATTCTGGTTTAAACTCGACCCATTTGTTGTTTTCGGATCCGAAAACTCATGTATTTAACTGTTGTTCAGCTCATTTCCATCTTTTTGTTTGTTGAGTTTGGCTATTGAAGTTTTGGTTATGATTGAAACAGGTTTGGAAGTTAGTTTTTCAACGTGTTGTTACTCAGAATTTTCTTTATTCGCTCAAGCGACCATTCATGCGCTCGAGTGGTCTTTTGCAGTCTACAAAACTACTAAGAGTTTGAATTCTTTACTCGAGCGGAGTTTCTTACGCTCGAATGAACTTTTGCAGGTCTAAAACTACTGAGAGGGGGTCATTGTATGCTCGAGCAGTGTCTTCTTTTTGTGTCGGTCACTCAAGCAACCATTTCTTCGCTCGAGCGATCTGTGCGTATGTCAGTCCGAGAGACATCTTTTTTCAATCACTTTTTCATCTCTTTCTCCCTCTAAACATTTCAAAACCCTAGATCTGCTCTCTCTCTCTCTCTCTCTCTCTCTCTATAGTTCTTTACTCTCAATTTGTGAGTTTTCTTGTTGGAATAAATCTTACGTGTACAGTTGTAACATGCAATTATTGCACCAAAAATATTACCAATTTATATAAAAAAATATAAGTTGAACATAACATAAATTGTTTAAGTTAAACCAAACAAATCATATACCTAGAACCAAAAATACTTACAGAGAAGCAGATAACTTTCAAACAGATTATAAAATCTGGAAACAAAAAATAATTTGATTGAGACTTGTGTTTGATACAATTTTCTTAAGACAAATTTGTCCTCCGCTACGGTGCTCACGAGTTTTTTATTGGATGTTCGTCTCCTAGAATACAACGATCGAACCTTGTAGAAACAGCACTACCACGACAAGTCTAGCGAACCTTACTGTACAAAATTCTCTTACAGAAAAGACAGAGTGCAAAAGAAAAGAAACACAAGATGAATTCCTATTTAATAGCAAGCACATTATGGCCTTGTGCTAATCCCAATTTTCATGAGCATATTTGAGAATAAGTCTTGTTCTCATAGAAAGCGGCTCCACTTCCATGCTCACATAAGTGAAATCTGTCAAGGATGTTCCTGTAATTTGCACACCGCACTCAACAAGAGCTACAAAATTTTATTAAGAGTACAAAAACTCAACCTTCCAACATTATAGGACAAATGCATTTACATCATAGGGATGGACAACAAAATATTAAGGAGTGCATTTTTTACAACCACCATATGATTCGTTTTTCCCATTGAACCTAGTTACAAGATCTCTGGTCCCTAAGTTGGGTGTCATCATACATGGTTTATGATTTTATAGGCGTCAAACCCATCTCCCTTGATATATTCTAGACCCTATCTCTCACTAAGGCCTTGGTTAACGAATCCGCAAGATTATCCCAAGATTTTACATAATTCACAGTTATGATGTCATTTCTTAAATAGGATTTCACATTACTGTTTTTCTTTCGAATAGGTCTGGATTTACCATTATAAAAATGGTTGTTCACTCTACCAATAGCAGCTGTGCTATCACAACGAATTAACACAGGAGAAATTGGTTTTTCCTAAAAAGGGATTTCATGTAACAAATCTCTCAACCAATTCGCTTCTTCACATGCTGAAGCTAACGCTATAAGCTCAGTTTTCATTGTAGAATTAGCAATTATAGTCTGTTTTTTAGACTTCCAACATATAGCACCACCACCTAAGGTAAAAATAAAACCTGAGGTAGAGAGAGAATCACTTGACAAAGTATTCCAATTAGCATCACTATATCCCTCAAGTACCGCTGGATACTTCTTATAAAACAAACCATAATTTTTAGTACCAGATAAATATCTCATAATTCTTCCCATGGCTAGCCAATGATCTCGACTTGGCTTGCTAGTAAATCTGCTAAGTACTCCAATAGCATATGCAATATCAGGTCTAGTACAGTCAGTAGTATATCTCAAACTACCAATTATGCTAGCATATTGCTTCTGATTAATCACTTATTTTTCATTTGTTACAACAGATAAATGTATGCTTGCATCAAAAGGAGTAGCAACATGTTTATAGTCTAGAAAATTATATTTCTTTAAAATTTTCTCAACATAATGTGACTGATCAAGAAAAATGCCATCATTAGTCTTGGTAATTTTAATTCCCAAAATAAAATTGGCTTCACCAAGATCTTTCATATCAAAGTGACTATTAAGCATATTTTTAGTCTCATTTATAATATGCAAATTAGAGCCAAAGATGAGTATATCATCCACATATAGGCTAATAATCACATGTGCATTCTCACAAGTTTTATAATATATGCACTTATCATATTCATTAGTTTTATAGCCTTTCTCAAGCATGCATAAATCAAATTTCTGATGTCACTGTTTATGAGTTTGTTTTAAACCATAAAGGGATTTAGTTAACTTACACACCTTGTTTTCTTAGCCAGGCTCCACAAAGCCCTCGAGTTGATCCATGTAAATCTCCTCATCTAGATCTCCATTTAAAAATTATGTTTTCACATTAATTTGATGAATTTTTAAATCATGAATTGCAGCCAGAGAAAAAGGATCAAAGAAATTAAGATCAATTTGTTACTTAAAACCTTTAGCGACAAGCCTTGCTTTATATCTATCTATAGTTCCATCCGGTTTAAGTTTTTTTTACGAAGGACCCATTTACACCCAATAGTTTTACAACCTGGAGGAAAGTCCACTAGTTTCCATGTTTTATTTGAAAGTAGTGAATCTATCTCATCATTTACAGCATCTTTTCAGAAAATAGCATCAGGTGATGATAAAGCTTCTTGCACCGTAAGAGAAATTTCTTCCACATTGTAAAAATAATAGTCGGGGCCAAAATCTTTTTCAACTCTAGCTCGTTTACTCTTCCTTGGTTGAATCTGAGAATTTTATTGTTCTTGAAAAACTTGAGATGGAGTAGAAGAGCTAGGCATGGATAAAATATTTTCAGAAATTATTTGACCTCCACTATTTCTAGATTGAAAGGAAATTTATTTTCATAAAAAATAGCATCACTTGATTCAAAAATAATATTATTTTCCATATCAAAAAATCTATAAGTTGTACTATGCAACGCATACCCAAGAAAAGCACATGTGGTAGCTCATTCACCAAATTTAGGTCGTTTAGGATCTACAAGCCTCACAAAAGCTAAACAATCCCAAACCTTCAAATAACGTAGATTTGGTTTATACCCCCGCCACAACTCATAAGATACAATTTTAGCCTTTTTGTGTGGCACTCTATTTATCACATGGCAAGCTGTCAAAATAGTCTTGCCCCAAAGATTTGAGGGAGCACCTAAATCAATAAGCATAGCATTCGTCAAGTCAATTAGCGTTTTATTTTTTCTTTCAGCTATGCCATTAGATGAAGGTGAATATGGTGGAGTGGTCTCATGAATACTTCCCAATGATTGAACAAAAGAATTGAATCCAAGAGATTCATACTCCCAGCCTCTATCACTTCTAATTCTCTTAATCTTTTTACCGAATTGATTTTCTACTTCAAGAAGGAATTCTTTAAATTTCTCAAAAGCATCACTTTTTTTTTTTAATAAATATATGTTTGTATATTTTGAAAAATCATCAATAAAAGTGATAAAATATCAGTTACCACCCCGAGTTAAAATTCCTTGAAACTCACACAAATCAATGTGAAATAATTCTAGCAATTCGGTATTTTTTTCAACACTTTTATAAGACCTCTTGGTAATCTTTGCTTTCCTGCAAACTTCACATTTCTCTAAATTTTTTGTCACTTTAGGAATTAATCCTAAACTACTTATGATTCCTATATATTTACTATTAATATGACACAAGAGAGCACGCCAAAAATTAATAGAAGACAAAGTGTAAGCAGTGTCATAGTAATCATAAAATTGATCAACAATGAAATTTAAAACATAAAAACGATATTTATACTCATCTATATTATAGGTAGCCACTTTTGCTTCATGTGCCTTGTAGTCTTCATCATTCATCTCCTCGGTTGGATTTTGTTTGGATTCTTCTAGGTAAGAACATATGCAACTTTCAAAAGGCTGAGGTAAAAAAAAACTTTTCCTTTTCACCTCTTAAAATGAACTCCCTTGAACTTGAAAGGCTTGTTGAGATCTCCAATTCCATCATTGGTTTTTTTTGGTACTTGTTCCATGGTTGATCTCCTTAAAATTGTTGGTGAAAATACTAGAAGAATTATATTTTATTGACAAATAATGCAAAGAAAATGAGATACAAATAGATCAGGCTGATGCACGGATATCTCATTTTCTTTAAGGAGATCAAGCCCACTGCGGTAGGAAGAATCCAAATACCGATGCAGCAGCCACGAACTATGACTTGTCTTCTCCAGGATACAATAGCTCGACCACTTGTCGTATGGTTCATGCCAACTTTGCACAAGATGGTGAACCCAAAGCTCCACAAAAAAAAATACCCTTCTTTGCTAGTAATCTCTCA